CAAGTACCGCTGTGAGGACTGTGGGAAGCTCTTCACCACCTCGGGCAACCTCAAGCGACACCAGCTGGTCCACAGCGGGGAGAAGCCCTACCAGTGCGACTACTGTGGCCGCTCGTTCTCTGACCCCACTTCCAAGATGCGGCACCTGGAAACCCACGACACCAACAAGGAGCACAAGTGTCCCCACTGCGACAAGAAGTTCAACCAGGTGAGTTGAGCAGTGGAGAATAGGATCATCTGGGATTCGGGTCACTCAAGAGGGAGACAGGGTGTTTTGGGGCTCTCTGCATCGCATTCTCTGTTCCCAGGTGGGAAATCTGAAGGCTCACCTGAAGATCCACATTGCGGATGGGCCCCTGAAATGTCGCGAGTGTGGGAAGCAGTTCACCACATCAGGTAGCACAGTGGTCTAGGGAGACGGGGTGCTCTGGGGGCAGATCAGAGCTGGAGAAAGGATTTCATCTTTGATTTAAATGTCTCCCTGCAACACTGTGGTTGTGCTGCATCAATTTCTAGTGTCCCCCAGATGGGGTCACCAGAATGGAGCCTGGTTATGGGTCACACCTTGAAAAGGAGTTCTTGATCCAGGTTCTGGAGATGGGGATGTCTCTTTCTATCTCCCCAGACTGCTGCAGAGCCAGAGGGGTCAGGATGATCCCAATGGAGTCTTTTGATCCCCTCAAACACTGGGTGCTTGTCCCAGCTGTTCCCACTGCTGTGTTGTTGTGAGGTGTAGCTGCTTCCCTTGGTCCCTGCACAGTCCCAATTCCCTAAATAGCAACAGGCTTTCCCAAGGGACCTTCTGGAGTGCTGGGAAGGAGGAAAAGAGGGAGGGAGGGAGGATCCAGTGTCCTTCAACTGAACCTCACCTGCTCTCAGGTAACCTGAAACGTCACCTCCGGATCCATAGCGGTGAGAAACCCTACGTCTGCGTCCACTGCCAGCGCCAGTTTGCCGACCCTGGAGCGCTCCAGCGTCACGTCCGCATCCACACCGGTAAGGATACACCTCCATTCCTTTCCTGATGGATTTTGCCTTCCCTTCATGCTCCCCATCCACTGTTTCCCCGTTTTTTCCCCAGGAGAGAAGCCATGCCAGTGTTTGATCTGCGGGAAAGCCTTCACGCAGGCGAGTTCCCTCATCGCCCACGTGCGCCAGCACACAGGGGAGAAGCCGTATGTGTGTGAGCGATGTGGGAAGAGGTGAGGATTCACCTTGGGAATGTAAGAGAGGGGCACACTGGTGGTGTTAGGATATCAGAGGGGATCTGCACACCCTCCACGGCTAGGGGCTGGAACGTGGGGGTGGGTGGAGGCGCCAGGGCGTTACTGTGGATTGTCGTGATGGCAGTGTCATTCCCAAAGGTTTGTCCAGTCAAGCCAACTGGCCAATCACATCCGGCACCATGATAACATACGACCCCATAAATGCACCGTCTGCAACAAAGCCTTCGTCAACGTGGGTGACCTCTCCAAACATATCATTATCCACACTGGTGGGTACCCGAAGCTCCCCAGCACTTCCCAAAATTGCTACCTACCCCCTAAGTCATCACCCCATCACCCACCCCCCCGAATTCCATCTGGTTCCCAGGGGAGAAGCCATTTCTGTGTGACAAGTGCGGGAGGGGGTTTAACCGTGTGGATAATCTGCGATCCCACGTGAAGACGGTGCACCAGGGCAAGGCTGGGATCAAAATCCTGGAGCCAGAGGAAGGCGATGAAGTCAACATCGTCACGGTGGCGTCCGATGACATGGTGACATTGGCCACCGAGGCACTGGCTGCCACTGCTGTCACACAGCTCACAGGTGAGCTGGGGGGGCACCGAGGGAGGTTTAGCCATGGGGGTCCCAGGAGCCATCCCAAAAGGGAAGCTTAGCCATTCGGGTGCAGTTGGGTGGTCCTGAAGTGGTCCTGAAAGGTTTACCAATGGGGTGCAGCTTGGGTGTCCCAGAACTGTCCCACAAGGGAAGTGGATCCCTGAGGGGCAGCTTGGGGTTCCAAGAGACACCCCAAAAGTGAGACTTTTCCTTAGGGAGCAGCTTGGGCATCCCAGAGCTGTACTGAAAAGGAGGCTTATATATGGGATGCAGCTTGCAGGTCCCAAGAGTCACCCCAAAAGGGAGATATATTTGTGGCATGCTTGAGGGTCCTGGAGACAGGCAAAGGTGCCAAGAGACTTATCCAGGGCTGCAGCACCCTGTTGTGTCCTGCAGCCAGGAAACCTCACATCATTTGAGACTGGATGTGGCACTTAGTGCCATGGTCTAGTAACCATGGTAGGGTTGGAATCAATCTTTGAGGTCTCTTCCAACCCTATTGATTCTATGATCTGCCTTGGAGCATCTCCCAGCCACTAGGCTGGGCAGAATCCATGCGTGGGGGGGTCCTGCCTGAGCCAGAACTCGCCCAAATGT